GAGGTTGAATGGTCACAAACTACTTCAAGATCGTTTCAGGCTGGACATAAGGAAGAACTTCTTTACTGTCCAAGCCCCCAAGGTCTGGAACAGCCTGCCACCGGAGGTGGTTCAAGCGCCTTCATTGAACACCTTCAAGATGAAACTGGATGCTTATCTTGCTGGGATCCTATGACCCCAGCTGACTTCCTGCCCTTTGGGCGGGGGGCTGGACTCGATGATCTTCCGAGGTCCCTTCCAGCCCTGATGTCTATGAAATCTATGAAATCTCTCGTTGACACAACCAAAAAACATACGACCATGAAACCAAGAACATCCTACAACATGCAACAGACAAAGATTCAGGGAGACAAAGGCACTACCACAGCAATGGCAGAAAATCTATTAGCTTAATATATGCTTGGATGATCCTAAGAAAAGAACTGTGCTTCATGATACTGAGGAAAACAACACTCCTATTAGTTGTTGCCAATCTGACCTAGATGAAACATTTTTTTTTCTGATCCCAATTCTGGTGATCAATATTGTCCTCAGCAAAAGACAAAGACTGCCCAATCAAGGTCTTTTCCTCCAAGGAGACTGAGTTTGTCTCATTGGTGATCTGACTACTCCCAACCTACAGAGAAGAAAGGAGCTTGTGTCTACAGTACAATAAAGAACTGTAATCCAGGTCAAGTCTTGGCAATGCTAGGCAGGTGGAGCATTACAAAATAATAGCTAAAGCTCCAAATACTTAAAAAAATTCTGTTGTCCTGTGAAATATTTTAACAATGGCTTACAATGATCCCAAAGAAACATACGCTGAAATGTAGACTATTCAATTTGCCACTGGATTCTGGAAGTACTTCATACTTCTTTGCTTTGTTCATTCAAAGATCTCAAAGCACTTAGAATGATAAAATGATTAAGGCCTAACACAACACCTGACAGAGTGGAGAACAGTTATTTTCACTTTACGGATAGAGAGACTGTGGTAGGGAGAAGCAAAAGGCAAAATTATCAGCCACATTTAAACGTATAGGCCTCAATGGATTAGAGTGATAAGTGAACCCAGGTTTCCTAATCCCTATGCTGTATAAACTTCCCTTGTCTGTATTTCAAGAAAGAGCTATAGAAATTAAGGCTGTCAATTGCAGTAAGTTACATAATGAATTCTTGTCAATGACAAAAATCCTAAACTGAAAATTCTGTACATTTTATACCCTGCAGAAGTTCAGTATTCTACTTTTTTCTGATTCTGAATTAATGAGAAAAGTTGTTAATTTTTAACTTCAAAGGTTTCCTCTTGGTCTGAAGACAATAAATATGCAGCAATTCTCTCACAACAAAGATTTGATTAGACATATTTAAGCAAGAATAGTAACTTGTCAGAAATAAATTACTGCTGCAGAATGCCATATCTAACTTAAATTTCCTTATGCGAAGTGTGGAAAAACCCCACACAACACTATGCTTCCACGAAAAACCTTTTCTCTACATTTCTATACTTTTTTTTTATTAAAAGTTGCTGTTAAAAAAACAACGGTTCCAGCATTTCACTGGACAGAAGATTTCTCCCTACCTGCTACTGTGACTTTAGCTGTCTGACTGATGATAGCCCCAGTGCCTTCTAAAGATGCCTCACACTGGTAGACACCCTCATCTGGCTTGTGGTGTCTGGAATGGACTATGTTTTGTATCAAGAGGGAACCATTGGCCAACTGCTGTCTCCTTTCATCCACCGCCAAGTTTAAGAACACAGCATCTTTCTTCCACTTGATGACTGGAATTCCTTGATCTGACTCCGCTGTGCAGTTCAGCAGCACATTACTTCCACGCATGGTGACAGCATCTGAAGGCTCAGTCAGGAACCGTAATGATGTAAAACCCTTAACCTGTGAACCTGAAACAAAAACAACATGGGAAAATGTGGTTATTCATTCACAAGCAGGAAAACATATACAGGCAGTCCTCGACTTGCAACGTTTTGAGTTGCAACGTTTCACACTTATACCATTTACAAATTGACACCCTGTTTCAACTTTCTGACATCAGTTTTGACTTTACAACTCTTGATCTGATGCCACACCATGCCAGTGAACAAGTTAGCTGCATCGCCCGTCTCTCTGAACCACATCTGTCCAAACTTCCTTGAACGCTTTCTTTAAGAAAGCAGACAAGACTCCAGAAAAACCTCCAGCCAAGACTCCTGAGAAGACTCCAGACAAGAACCCTTCAAAAAGTCGAGCAAAGTCACCTCAAAAAAGTTCTTCCAAATCAATATGATTGCTAATTACAATATAAATACATTAATGTTACTATATTACTCATCTATAATTGATGGAGTACAAAATTCTGGGTTATTTTTGGTGAAAATAGGGTATCAGGCCTTGGTTCAGGAGCCAATCTCCCATTTATAACATTGTTTCCTATGGGAAAATTGGTTCCTAGTTACAACATTTCGACTTAAGATGCGGTTTTCAGGAACCGATTGTGTCGCAAGTCTGAGGGCTGCCTGTACCATGTCTGATGCACAAACTCACGGAGGAGCAGTAACACAAAACCCCAGAAGGCACCCCATGTTGGCCTGGAATACATTTGGAGAATTAATTAAATTAAAAATAGTGTCCCTTTGCATACCTTTTAAATAAAAACAAAGCCAGATATTTTAACCCCATTCATTCAAATCCAATATTTATAAACAGTTTTGCATCTAAACACACACACACACACACACAGATACGTACGTGCCCATGCACATAACATAAAGAGACGTAACTAAGCTAAACATCTCCAACCCTGCCACACATAGGGACAAGCATCGAATTTACTCTAGTAATACACAGGAGCCACACCAAGTCAATCACCACTCAAAACCCATTTTGAGGTAGAAAATGGCTTGTTGGATTTGTTCTAGCCCTCTTCACTAAAATACATCTCTCTATAGGAAGTCTACCAATAGTAAATGGGACAGCTACTGTTTCTTCATTAAAGAGGAGACATCTGGAGTCATTCAGACAAATCCAGTCTGACCATCTACTTGAAGCAGGCTCATACCTTTATATATGATGAGGCTTTTCCATCCTAACTGCAATAACACACAAATAGCTGTCCCCTTGCCCTCAAACAGGAAGAGCAAGGAAAGAGTTCATTACAGAAAAGTTTCTCAGGACCCAGTTCAGCAGCAACACCAGTTGCATGCTATTTGCTATTCTAACAATATAGCTAAATGTTTGATTTTTCAGCTAGACTGAATAAACGTTATAATTGATACCAGGCTTGTGTGAAGAGGCAAGTATTTGCTTTAGATTTGGCCAATTTGGAGGACAGTAATTTGATAGGGAGATTCGAATCTTTCCCGATTCAATTCGGGTGAATCAGATCTGAGAGATTTGGCACCACTTCGGAGATTCGGCCATAGATTAAACAGGCAGCTGACACAGCTGCCTCCAGCTAGTAAATCTGTTGTGGTTGGAGGAGGGGAAAGGAAAGGGGCGTGGGGGTGGGAGGGATTGGGGCTGGAGCTGGGACAAGCTGCCCAGTGGAAGGGGGCAACCAGCAGCAGGGGATAGCCCCCACTCCCAGTGCTGCTATGCCCACATCCTGTGCCCACCCATGCTGGTTGGCAAGCGATGGCAGGGCAGAGTCCCCACTCCAGTGCTGATGCGGGCATGGCAGCACTAGGAGTGGGGGCTTTGCCCTGCTGCTGCTTGCCCCCTTCTGCCTGGAGCAAGCTGCACCTGCATCGTGTCCCCCTCCCAGCCCATCTGGGCAAGCAGCAGCAGGGCAGAGCCTCCACTCCCAGCGCTGCTATGCCCACATCAGCATTGAGAGTGGGGACTCTGTGCTGCCACCACTTGCCAGCTGACACAGAAGTGCTGCTGCCCCTTGCCAGCTAGCACAGGCGAGTGAGCACTGGTGCCACTTGCTAGGTGGTGAGGAAGGGGGTGGGGGCAGGGGGGTGCTGCTACTGCTTGACAGTACTTATGGCAGAGTAATTAAGTACAATGAAACACACATGTAGACAATGACAGGGGCGGGCTGAGGCACAAGGGTGTTAAAGTGTGGGAGTTGCTTGCTGCATGGCTCTGTACTTTAGGACTCTTGTGCCCCAGTCAGCCCCTTTGCTCTCTGACACCACCACTCAGAACCCAGGGCTGAATCCCCCTTCCTCTCCCCACAAGTGCATTGCCAGCCTGGAGCTGCACCACCCCACACATATAGACAACGCACCCAGGAGCAGGTGACTCCAGCTTGAACTGCTCCCAAATTTATTGTGTCCCATTCATTTCATGTGCAGGTATTGTGTCCCACTGGGTATGAATTAAATAACCAACATTTTCCATGAAAATAACAACTTCCCTCAAACTTTCTTCTACAAAAATCGATATGTAAATGTGCAAGAACATTAGATTTAAAATAATTATGTGCTTTAATAGAATGACTAATTATGTTTTAATTTTACTTCATAAACCAAAAGTTACAAATTTATTTGACAATGTGTGAGCAGCAATATGGCATTTTCTTAACATAATTGAATTGAATACTGAAGTATTAAATTGAATCCATGGTATAATCATTTTCCAAGTAACCAGACACTTGCAGGTGGCTTTAAAATGGTTTGATTAAAAGAAAATGGGCTTTTAAAAATATATAGAAAGGAAAAAGCATAGTTGGCTGATAAAGGCTGGGCAGACTGTAAATCTTAGTCTATTTATCACTGGAATTACAAAATCTACAATATATTATTATATCAGCTGTGTTAATTCTTTACTGTTTATTTGAATCAATTTTAAAGAAAGAACGAAATGTGATGTATGAAAAAGGTAGAGTCAGGGCCTTATTTTACTTGTATCAGCTTAACTCCACTAGTTCTGTGCGATCTACAGGTGATTTACACTGGTGTAAGTAACATCAGAATTAATTCCTAACTACATAATAGCAGAGAACACCATTGCATACACATTCAAATGATCTGAGAGAATTCTCCCAGGTTTCTTTTCCTGGTAAAAAAATTTACCTGGAGGTGCCTGATCAGACATTTGAGGGCTGAACCCCTGAAGAGCAGAGAGTTAACAGTGCTCATGCTGCAGTCAAGACCCCCCTATGCACACATCTCAGTGTGTTCCGCAAACTTCCTCAGTTTGCATGGAGACAGATGGCAGCAGTGCACACCAGCCTTGGTTGGCTGACCCAGGGTCTTTCTGCAGCAGAGTATGGGGATTGTGAAGGGAACGTGTTCTGCTCCCTGCTTAGCTAACATAGTAAAGTCCAGTGAGTGAGACAGTGTCTCCCAGGAGGTGGAAGGGCAGAAGCAAGCACTCTAGGAAGCTGAAAGACTGCCCTGTGGCTAATCTCAACAGAAAATATGTCCAGGAGTGATTTAACCCTGGTTGTGTCTATCTTAGCTTTTCTCCTGGAGAGGCCATTTTTGGTGTGGGGAAAAAAAAATCCTGAACGTCTGTACACCCCTGGTTTCTCCTGGGAGAGAAGTGATTCTCCCAGGAGAAACTGAATGTTTGTGGCTCATGAAACATCATCCACAATTTGTAGTTCCATTTACAATATAGGCAAGCATTATCATTTAAAAAGATTGTATTTTTTTTTCTTCTAGGGGTCGCTTGTGTTCTGTTTTTAAAGCACAGCTTCTTGTTGGACATTTTATTTATGCCACCCAAAAAAACATAATGCATTTTAATACAGCTGTTTATGACAGTGTGTTAATGATTTTATTTAGCTATTATCACAAGTAAGTAATCCACTTATCCAGAAGCAGTGGGGTTATGACAGTTTTCAGTGCAGCAAATATATACATTACAGGAGTTAAACAAAGATTAACTTTCTTTTCATGCAATTACCCTTTCAGTTCAGTCACAATTCCAGCTATGTATATCCTTTGCAATAGCCATAGTTAGTTTGAATTGCCTTAGTACATGGCACCTAACAGCCTGAATAAGCTGTAAAGCTTTTAAAATATAAAGAAAATTCAAGCCTTCCCTAAAATATTGCTTGTGAGGACTGAAATGTTGGCAACAGGGAGAGGAAATGACCATGTGCTTTCAGAGAAGATTACCTGGAAATCCACGGAATAATGAGGGAATAAGAGCCAGAGTTTTAAAGGGATCTAGGTGCTCAAAGATGCAGACAGATAAGTATTGAAAGGCTCGGAGCCCAGGCACTTTTGGAAATCTTAGTGGTGCCTGTATGCATTGCTAAGTAGCTAAATACTTTAAAAAAAAATCTATTCCAAAGGAAGTAGCTCAAGGTAAGTCCCAATCAAAATATATCTAAATTCCAGCCAATCTTTGAGATCATTCCTGATGTCATATTATATTATACTTTAACCAAGGGCACATATGAAATATTTTCTCGGTGACCAGCGCCTGTATTATGCACTACTTAATGTTTTTGAGCAGCCATCACCCATAACTTATTTGTGGCAGACTGTAGTAACCACTAGAGAAATATTCTTTTACAGATGGATTCATCGTCTGCAAGAAGGGCACAGTGATGGAGATATTACTATTTTTTCCTAGTGCACTTCCAGTTACTGCAGAAAGACCAAACTTGAAAGGGAGAAGAAATAAACTCATTAAATAGTTTGAAATTTACAAAACCGAGTTTAACTTTCCATTGAATTTTCTTCTGTTTTTTACCTGTTGTTGAAATCTAAATACCAAGTTACAAATCACAATCATTTCCCTGCATCTCTTCTCTCAGAACTAGAGGTCCTGGTGACCTTTCTCCAAGTTAGCAGCAAAGAACATATCCCTCAAGATACTTCAGGGAAAGCAATACAAAATGACCTATTTCTCTAAAAGCTGAACATCTATCCATAATGCCAAGTGCAGGGATTCGTATTGCAGTCAATAATTGGCATCAGTCACAGTGGAGAAAGACCTG